ATGGATTTGTTCAGAAATACTGAAATGACGGTGACGATCATGATAAAGGCCTGCATCAACCATTTCTTAGTTTAATTCATATTCTGTCAGTCAAAGTATCAATTAGCTTTGGTTCGTTCCTGTGCTTGGAGACAACTTTCAAATTTTACACACAGAATTTTCGTAAGTTTAGAGCTCAAAGAAGCATTTTTTTTTTTGTTAAGGAACTTAATTAAGATGAAAATTAGTAAACTCTTAGAGAGTGCATGTGATCAGCCTTAATTATACGTGGACTGAGAAACCGGAGTTGTAAATATATACGTCTTGGAAAAACTGATCATCGGAAATTAACTTCCATTTTTTTTTTTAATTTAATGTGCAAATTTCAAGTCAAGTCTGCACTACCCGGCCCTAGCTAGATCGAAAATGAATCCTGAAGTGTCATTTTCAAGTAAAAGATGGGTGATATGGTAATTCCAAGCAGCTGTTCGTCTCATGGGTCGTTTTCTCATGGATTAAATAAAATGAGAGACCAAGGGGCACCGTGTGTATAAATGAGCAGCCATGTTTTTGGTGGCCAAGTTAAGACCCACCAAGAAAGAGAGAGAGTAGTTACGATGGGAAGATCTCCGTGCTGTGATGAAAATGGCCTAAAGAAAGGCCCTTGGACCCCTGAAGAAGACCAGAAGCTTGTCGATTACATCCAGAAACATGGCCATGGAAGCTGGAGAGCCCTTCCCAAACTTGCTGGTATTTGTTTTTCCTCATGTTTTTTACTTTCTATTGTTAATTAGTGCCTTTTCTTTACGTATCTCATGTGTCTAGTACTGTTTGTTTTCATTCTGTTTAGGCCTGAACAGATGTGGCAAAAGCTGCAGACTAAGATGGACAAACTATCTGAGGCCAGACATCAAGAGAGGCAAGTTCTCAGCAGAGGAGGAGCAGACCATTCTCAACCTCCACTCGATCCTAGGCAACAAGTAATACATCAGCACTCGCTAATTAAAATATATTCATGTTGCGTACATTTTTCTCCACTTCTAAACAGCTTGAACCAAAAACAACCATAACTCACTTTATTTGAACTGATACCTCAGATGGTCAGCGATAGCAACACATCTCCCAGGGCGAACCGATAACGAGATCAAGAACTTCTGGAACACACACCTGAAGAAGAAGCTGATCCAGATGGGGTTCGACCCGATGACTCATCGTCCAAGAACCGATTTTTTTGCAGCCTTACCGGGTCTTTTAGCCCTCGCCAACCTCCGAGACCTAGTTGATCGTCGCCCTTGGGATGACCACTCCCTCAGCCTTCACGCTGCCGAGGCTGTTCAGACCGCAAAGCTCCAGTATCTTCAGTACCTCCTTCAGTCTGCTGCCTCAGTAGCTCAAGCCTCCACAAACCCTAACAACAATCAGAATCTTGATGCTATGGGATTGTTCAACCAGTCGCCCGTCCCTTGCTCTGAGCAGGGTTTTGTTCAGGGTGTTGACGGGCTAATGCCGTTGAGCAACGACACAAACCAAGGCTCCTCAAGCTTTACCTTGCTGAGCCAAGGGGACAATAGTACTACCCCAAGTATAACTCCATTAATGGAGGGGCTTCCTCCGCTCGCTGACTTGTCGGTGGGAAACATGGCCGGAGATGCTTGCAGCACCTCCAGCTGTGGGGGAAGCACTGGGATGTCTTCATTCTGGCCGGAGCTCTTGCTTGATGACCCATTTATGACTGAGTTTGTTTGAGTTTTTACTTCTGTTAAGGGGGCAAAAAAAAAAACTATCAATTTTCTTTTATTTTTACTATGTAGGTGTTTATAATGTTAGGAGGCTTTGGGAGTGGGTACAGGGTACATGGAGCTAGCTGCACCAATGCACTGCATCTAATATACAGACAGTAAAACACATGTATGTACACAACACACAGTTGCTACTTCTCTCTCTCTCTCTCTCTCTCTATTATATATATATACTTGGTTTGGATTGTTATATTTGTCATGCTTCGCTTGCTTTATTAATTTGTTTTTTTTTAATTTTTTATTTTAATTTTATGTTTTCTTATATGTGTTTTGAATTTGTTGATTTATCCGTTCAGGTAAATACTAACCATGTTTAGAAAAATTTATGTAGCCCTCCACATCTAAGGATTTAATTATCAGGTGAATTTAAGAGGTTCCAGCTTTTGATATAAGACATGCAAGAGTTTTATTCTTTTTTGTTATTTGCTTAGATTCTCATGAGAACCTAAGTTGGTGTAAAAAGTAGGCTTGTATACTGACTGTATCCAAACTGCAGTAGGCCTATGTTTCTGATGAAAAAGAAGTAAGAGGTATAGAACAAAAAGAATTTAGAAGAGGTATATAGAAGGGCGGGTGCTTTGTGCTTTGTAGAGTAACTTTATATTAAATAATTTGCAAATAGTTACGGATATAAATTATTGCTATATATTAGGCTATGATTTGTAAGGGTAATCGATTAAGAGGATCAAAAACATTTTATATTGTAAACTACCCAAAAGATTGAAAATAGTACTAGTGACTAATTACGTACGATATTATTCAGCTCTAGGGTATGATGGTCGTATTTTAATAGATCATGGTACATTGATACTTAACCATTAATTCATTTATCTCAAAATGTCAATGTTCATATTGTCATGATACTTAATTGTTAATGTTGTTACCTCAAACTACAATTTTTCTTAGTTTCTAAAAAGTAATTTTCCTTAACAATAGTATATTGAATCTCGTAGCATCTACATAAAGAGAAAAATCATGGTTTTATGTTGACCTATTAACACGTGTTATTTCGAGATTGATTAGCCACTTAATTTGTGTGTTTTGATCTTTGAAGTTTTGGTTTAAAAATGTCGAAGTGAATTCACAATTGTATTTTCTAAATTATCTCCATAATTTTCTCTTATTAGTTTCCTTCATTTTGTAGTGTAGGCTAGGAATTCATTTATATACATCCGTCTAGATTTGGGGGAAAAACATTTATAAAAGTACAAAAATAGCCATAATAAAGAATAAGTAGAGAAACAACTTGTCATCTCAAGTAAATTTAGAGAGTTGACCTATAGGCTGTCATGCCAAATGATATGAAAGAGAACACCATGCAATGATAGGAAACACCAAAAACTTAGCAACACATGTAAGTGTCACCTGTCATTTCCATGAAGTTAAATATGTGACATTAATCAATCATGAATAATCTCATGCACGCAACCTCTTTGCGCAAATAATATCCTAAGAACCTCATTTCCCATTTTCTTTGTGAGCAGGTGAAACTTGATACCTTTTCACTCAAGAAACTTAAAAACCCATTAATCGATCATATTATGATTTTGATGACGTTAATCACCCCTTTAATTGGGTGATTAAGGGTGTTTTTTCATCAAAAAGTTTGATTAAAAGTGGGGTTGTTATAGGGTTTGTCAAAGAAATGTGGAAAGTTTTATTAGCAATAGAAAGCGATCGAGGTTCTCTACCTAATCCTGCCCCATTCGTTGGAAACCACATTAAGCTTCTTATGTCATTGCATGGAAACTTTATTCAATGATTTATATATGATACTCCTCTAATGATAGTCCAAATTTACAAAAGCTAGTGGGTTGTAGAAAAGGAAGTGATTGTTAGAAGTAGCAACATCAGAATAGAGACATTCCTAATATTTATGGATATTATAATCCATATCAAAAGTTAAGAGTGGGATGGTCTATCAATATGCTTGCGTTGGGGTTGAACACACAAACGACAATACGTGCCCTTCCGGATCTTGTGTCAAGAATAGGCAAGTAAGAAATCACAGCAAATAACAAAAAACTTGCAGGAAAGAACAAACAAAAGAATAAAACACCAGATTTAACGAGGTTCGGCAAATGTGCCTACGTCCTCGGGAGCCACATCAAAAAGTTTTGATTAATTGAAGAAGATTACAATGCTCGTAATAGGCCACACTCTCCCTAATATCTCTGATCTCAAAGTGCTATCAAAACCCTCTCAAAGACGTCCTCACATAACCCTAAAAACGTTTTAGGAAACATATATATACACAGCCCAAAAACAGATTCCAACCCGAATTAGGAAACTGCCAGATCCGACTTCGGTCGACCGAAAGCATCGCATCGGTCGACTGGTTGATCACCACCGGTCGACCGATATCATTACTTCGGTTGACCGGTCAGAACTCTGTTTTCTACAGGGTTTTTGTTCACGCTTTTGGTCGACTGGGGCAAGCTCGTCGGTCGACCATCCCAAAATTCCTGTAGTTTTTTTGGCTTCACATCGGTCAACCGATGAGTTTGTGTCGGTTGACTGATAAGGGAATTTTTATGCAGTTTGTGATTTTGATTCCAGGTTTGGTTCTTCACTCCCGAAACCAACAATCTTTCACTTGGAGACCAAACCGTCATCAACGAGCTCTCTCGAACTCCTGCCATCTTCGCAAGCATCTTCTCCTACCAAAAATCTATTCTTCAATCAATATCATCTCGGTTTTTGGCTTCACATCGGTCAACCGATGAGTTTGTGTCGGTTGACTGATAAGGGAATTTTTATGCAGTTTGTGATTTTGATTCCAGGTTTGGTTCTTCACTCCCGAAACCAACAATCTTTCACTTGGAGACCAAACCGTCATCAACGAGCTCTCTCGAACTCCTGCCATCTTCGCAAGCATCTTCTCCTACCAAAAATCTATTCTTCAATCAATATCATCTCGGCGATCCTGACTATCCTCTTAGTGTAGCTCCGCCTTCGTCTCCTATGTATGAAGGTCAACTGAAGTTGCGTACAACTCCAGTTTCTCGATGGTCACTGCTTTCGTCAACATGTCCGTAGGATTTTGACTCCCCAAAATCTTCTCCAATTGTAACTTGTCATCCTCTATCAGCGAGCGTATAAAATGGTAACTGTAGGCTGTCAAAAAAATCACAATAGATAGCTGATCCTCATCAAAACAACGATGATGGAAGTTACAATCTGACGATTTCCAGAAGGCTACAATTTGAAGACTTTCACGTAGATCGCTAAAGGTTACAATCTGACGACCTTCATGACAACTGATGGAAGCTCTAATCAAACAGCCTTCATAATCAACATTGGGAGTTACAATCTGACGACTCTCATATATCAGAGAGCTAAAGCAAAGATTACAAAATGACGATCTTTGCAACACTTCGACAGAAAGAGACTACAAATCGACGGTCTCTTCAAATCAAACTGTGGAAGTCCTCCCCGCACACCAGCATCAAGACGCACCGCGTTCATAGCCACGAACGCAGCTCAAACGCAGCTTCCAAATCGCTGCGCAGCTCAATCACCGCCAGAACGCAGGTTAAGGTTCTGACTCATTCAAACGTGATCTAACAACTTCGAAGCTGTTCTTCACCCACGATTTGAGGAGTGGCTTTAGTGGGTTGTTACACCCGACTAATGGGGTAACTAAACCCCCATTTAGGCGCGGATTATGGGGGCAGTTACACCCCTAATCCCCCTATAAATAGCAACAAACTCAACAGAGTGAGGATCTTTTTTTGGATTGGGGAGATCGGATTTTTGATAATCAGATCAAGAGAGATTTCTTTTCATTAATCGGAGGGGGATCTTTCGATCAAATCTTCCAGAATCAGAAAAAGGAGGATTGACTCCTTACACAGTCTGGGAAATCAACAAACGGAGGATCTCTAAACCATCGATATTTGGCTTATCAACCGAATTCTTTTCGGTTCCAACAACTCTATCATTAGAGTTTGTTACTTGTTCTGAATCACAAAACTCGACAAGAGTTATCAAACCGGCCAAGACAGTTGTTCCAGTGAGTATAGATATTCGGATCGTCAACGAGAAGCAAACTCGACGCAAGCACTCGAGGGAGGCATCTCATCGCTACCATGAAGAACCCAGAATTAAACAAAGGGGAGAATCCAGATCATTCTCTTCTCTTTTGTAATCGGAAATCCAATTGTAATCGAGAGTGGAGAGAGTTGTAATCATTCTTTTTCTAAGCAGTTAGAGAGAATAAAATCAAATACAGTTCTTTCACCCATTTTTCTTATTATAAATTTTCCACCAAACAAAAGATGGCGACTCCGCTGGGGACTAGCTTCTCTGACGAAGAAGTGGTGGTGCAATCCGATGTTCATCTCACTAGAACAACCGTCGAAACTCTCGTGGTAGAGTTTGATCAAGCCAAGTTTGAGGAGGCCCTTTCCTCCGGATCCCTTAGCCCCAAGGCTATGCGCAAGATCCACAAAGTCTCCAAAGAGACTAAAGCTCCAACTTCTCTAATTACAGCCGAACCGCCTAAGGAAGACTGCTCGGACAGCCCCTCCCCCGATGGGGTGGGCTCAGCTTCAGCCAAACCCGCGCCAAGACGACGGATATCGGGTCGAAAGATGCCCATGGAGGTGACAAAGGCCTTGAAGCTGACTAAGAAGAACGCCGCTCGACGAAGAAGAAGATCTCGACGACGAGCACAACTTCGAGAATGCCGATCCTCAAGTCAACACGAGCTTCGTGTTTGTGAGCCTAAACGCAACCATGTGCTCTGCGTTTCTGCTTCAGAACGCAAGCCTCGCGTCCATGAGCCCAAACATAGGCTCTGTGTGAAGAAGACTGAACGCAACCCTCAGGGGCGCATTCCACAAAATGAACGCAACCCTCAGGGGTGCGTTCCACAAAATAAACGCAACTCTCAAATATGCGTTTCAATCATAGACTGGGGGTTCCAATTCAAACCTCACGATCAGTGAGTAATTCTCTAGTCCTTACAACAGACTTGAGAGAGTTCATATCAAGAGAAAGACCGATGCAACAAGTCATTCATTCATTCCAATGTGAACGACTAATTCCTACGGTCCTCTCGGGATGTCAATGTTGTTCATTTGCGGCCAAACAATTAGTGTTCGACCAATTAATGCATGTTGCCTTGCCCAACCAACAACGACGTTCTCACAGGAAGAAGTCTCCAGAG